CAGCCAATCAGCTTCTAACTACAGATTGTTCAATTAAGCTTTGGCAATAAAACCTGGAAGCTGATTGATTTCTATACAGCATTGTACCAGATTTTGCACTCTCCAGTTTTAGTAAATAACCTCCTTGATGTGTAGAACCCCCTATTAAGTTTTTATTGCTCTTTGCGAGAAGATTTTTCCTCATTTCCCATTCTGGTGATGGGTACTACAGAGAAATTCAGGGAAACTGTCCCCAGTGTTGACACATACAGCAATAAATGGAGACAGAGGCTCTAACCCTCCTCCGCATTATCCAAAACTAATAAAGTTTTGGTTGAAGGTGGGCTCTAAAGTTTGTGGTCCAGCTTGGTCCAATGTAAGTATGTGAATACCATATCTGGCAGACGGCCCTGGAAGCTGGAAATCACTGAAGTAGAAACTGCTGCCGGTGATCTCTACTTGCTTTTGGCCAATGATCTCTACTTGCTTTTGGGTAACATGCCAAGCAGCTGTCCATCTGCATTCTGAACATTGGAGGTTGGCTTCTGGGCACAGGCGCTATTCAGAGAATGCTGTGCTTTTTCTGAATGAATGCAAAGTCTCCATATCTTCCAATCAGAGAATTTGTTGCATTTATTCAAAAAAATGCAAAGCATTCTCTGAATGGTGTCTGAAAAAGGTTGGCTGGACTCTTCTCTACTTTCAGTCTTGGGCATTTTATGTGAATTTGGTGACAACACCAAGCCAATGCCTTTTAATTAGCAGCAGCATTGTTTATGAGAGGGTAGTGGAAGGTGCATTTTGGCATACTACTACAAAAAATGGCCACAAAAAAAGTAAATTTCCAGCTTCCTTGAAAGCTTTTCCTTTATAAAGAATAACAAGTCCTATTCATATGTCTTATGTTGCACTTGGCAAAACAACCAAATGCAAGCGTGTCACTAAGATTGGTAGACCCACTCTGTTGCCAGGGGCTAAAGCCAGCAACAGGCAGGACAGATAATAGAGTAACTCCTCAGACAGAGCAGACAATAGACAATAGCAGAGTCATCAGTCTGACAACCAAGTCAGGCACAGACAAATAGTGTATAAATTCCAGACTGGTAAATGGAGCAATGCTGGACAATAGCAGAGTTAAGCCAATGATTAGGATACGCACATGGTAGAAACACACACACACAAAAACCCAAAGTGTTCTCTGGTTCTGGTTTCCTTTAAAGTCCATAAATGAGGGCAGGTGTGCACAGACCTGAAGTGCTCAGTAACAACCAGCAGAGGGTAAAGGGTCATGGTAAAGGAACACTTAAATCAATGAGTGGACCATTCCATGTCCTGCATGGATTGGCCCGATGAGTGACAAGTATGTGCATGGCAATGGCAGCCTTAAAGCCTAGTACACACAATCAGAAATACCGCTTTTGAAACGATCGTACGATAATCTGATCGTTAGTACACAGCTTTCGTCTGAAACTGTTTGAAGGGACAAGCATGAAAATGTTTCTCGTCTGATACCAGATCGTACGATTTTTGTTTAATCAGCACAGTTTTTCGTCCAAAAATACAATACAAATACATCACTTCACTTTCCAATTTTTATTCCCTCGAATAAGAATTTTCGTAACTTCAGTAACCTCCTCACTTTTGATATGAGATTAGCATGCGAAAAAAAACCCCAGACAATCCTTCATCCAATATTTTCATCATGTATACGGGCAAGGGTGTATTTACCACAAGGCAAACAAGGCAGTTGCCTAGGGCGGCATTTTTCAGGGGGGCAGCAGCATTTTTCAGGGGGGCAGTGCTGTCCCCTGAAAGAAGGAAAGAAAGAAGGAACGCATGCAGCATGGGGACCAGGTGGGATCTGAGAGAGGCTGTGGGCTGCTTGATGGTGTATTCAGAGCCTGACTCTTGTTCCCGGTGAGCTGTGAAGGTTAGTGTCTTATCTCTTGCCGGGGTGGGGGGGGGTCACCAGTGTATGGAGGGGCGGTGGTAGTGGAAGGCTCTCTCGGGTGGGGGCGTTGGGGTGTTGTTGGTTAATGTCAGGCTCTCTTCGTGGGGAAGGGAGGTGTTGGCCGGTGTCAGGGTCTCTCTATGGGGGGGGAGCCAATTTTCGTGTTGCCTAGGGCAGCACGAAACCTAAATACACCACTATGTACGGGACTTAAATTACCAGTGTGCACCTGCTCTGAGAAATATCCTTAAGTGATAACCCTTGCACTCAGCAGAGTAGTAAGAAGCTTCTGTAAGTACAAGCAGTATCCACAAGAGTTCCCAATAGCCTAAGCAGTGGTAGCAGCAATCTGGGCCCAAATCAGCTTTATTGGCTTAGATACAGCTACATCCTCAGTGGGCTTGCTAGTTTTTCCAGTAATAATGCTGCACATAATGGAGGCTTTCTGTTTTGTTTGTATGTAAAAGTACATTGTACAACCTATAATACTTCTTGTAATGCCCTTTAGCTTAGCTAGGTAGCACTATTGTTAGTTAGAGGCTGAGTATCAGCCTGGGGTGAGTCAGCTTGGGAGTGAAGTAGTGAGTTCACCTCAGGACAGGCTGGGAGGCTCTATCAGGCCAGGGCTTCTGGAGCCCTCCCACCTTTCCAGAAACCTGAGAGCTTTCTGGAAGAGAGGTGGAGTAGGAGAGGGGGCCTAGATCTGAATGTTTGAGGGACCTTGGCCAAACCCCTGGCAGGAGGCTGGGCATGGTTACCAGGGCAACCCTCAAATGTGGCAGAGCCTGTTGGGAGGTGGGCAGTGTCGGGTGGCAGATAGATTGAGGAAGGCTGAAGTATGGAGCCTGGGAAGGGACCCAGGGACAGAAGCCCACCTACAGGCAGGTCACTGGAGAAGAGGATCTCCACTGCCTCAACGTCTCCTCTAGAGGAAAACCTGAGCAGCAGGGAAGGAGACAGCCCAGTGTAAGGCCTGAAGGCAACCACCAACTCACCAAGCTAACAGGAGAGGACAATGGGAGTACTCCCCCAGATAAGGGGAGAGCGCAGTCAGGTGCAAGACCCAACTACCTTTTCATCTGGCACTGTTTTAATCTAACAGCTACTGGGCCCTCTTACCCAGGGATACCCTCAGGCAGCTGGGTGAAGAGAAAGAATCATCCGGGGTCTGAGACAGTACACCTAAGAGCCTTTGGTGCTGTTCAAGAAAACACTGTTGAAAACTGTAAGATATATGTAAAGCCAAAACATTTTTTAAGTTTTGGATAGGGTGATGAGAGGCTAGAACCACTGCCAGGTTTTTATTGTTGTCTCTGTCCCTTCTGGGGGGATTTACTCTCTCATTCTTTGTCCTAGGGGTTTATTTATAAAAGATTCACTTTGCAAATGGATCAACATTTGCACCACCTTCTCAGGTAATCTCCATAATGTGTCTAATGTGTGTATTCTCTATGAATGTTAGCAGTATGACCATAATGCAGTATTTTCCGGAAATACCACAACAGGAAAGTACTATAGTATACAGAAAAAGTGAGCGCTACTAATAGAAATTCAAGTGAGCAGCTAATAGCACTAAAGATGATCACAACCACCTTTGATATAAATAAAATAAGCAAAGTGCAGCGCTACAGGACAATATGAGAAGTTCGATCTCCAAAAAGTTCGATCAAAGAATTGATCTAAACACACACATAAATGTTCATAGGATCAAGCAAATGATAAATGAACACAGCTAAAATCGGATCCGGGAAATGGCAGGAATGCGCACTCACCGACCGCACATAGGAAATGCGCGTTTTATTATGTATCCAATCAAACGAGTACCGATATCCCACAGGGAGAGATGTCCTCAAATGATCTGCTCGGCTAATATGGTCTCCTTAGTTTGGAATGGATCACTCACGGCACACGTCCCTTCCAGGTGCAGGTATCCCTCCTCTGGGTGATATGTAGCTGTGTCTGCCGACCCCTCAGTGGGGGGTAAAAAATGGAAAAGTACCCATAGTGTAGTATATCCAATATTTATTGATAAAGAAAGGGTTAAAACCCAGGTCAGTAATATTGACCTGGTCAGTATCCCCTCTGAAGATGTGCCTTAGCACGAAAGGCCTCAGGAGGAACTGACAGCCTGTGACGCCTCTTTACCACCCAGACCACGTGGAGGTCTGGGTGCTTGCTGTTTACAAGGGTCAGTAACTTACTTTTATTTGTAATTCTGTGTTCTCTGGCTTACTGCCAGCAATATTACTGACCTGGGTTTTAACCCTTTCTTTATCAATAAATATTGGATATACTACACTATGGGTACTTTTCCATTTTTTTACCCCCCACTGAGGGGTCGGCAGACACAGCTACATATCACCCAGAGGAGGGATACCTGCACCTGGAAGGGACGTGTGCCGTGAGTGATCCATTCCAAACTAAGGAGACCATATTAGCCGAGCAGATCGTTTGAGGACATCTCTCCCTGTGGGATATCGGTACTCGTTTGATTGGATACATAATAAAACGCGCATTTCCTATGTGCGGTCGGTGAGTGCGCATTCCTGCCATTTCCTGGATCCGATTTTAGCTGTGTTCATTTATCATTTGCTTGATCCTATGAACATTTATGTGTGTGTTTAGATCAATTCTTTGATCAAACTTTTTGGAGATCGAACTTCTCATATTGTCCTGTAGCGCTGCACTTTGCTTATTTTAGGAAAGTACTATAGTATGGGCGCCAGATGGAGCTGACAATCATAGAAAAAAAACACATATTAGACACTACGGGAATTATTCATAATGGTGGTGTGAATGCTAAGGCATTCACACAACTATTTATTTTTTATAACTAGACCCCCTAGTGTCACTTTGACTGAAAGTGTGAAAAAAAACAATTTTGAGTTGCCATAGAAATAGATGGAAAATCTTTCCAAAGGACAGATGACAAAGAAAAAATATACATGCATTTTATTCAGTTTATCAGTCAATCCAAAATATAAAAGAACTGTCTTTAAATACACTTTAATAAAAAATGCAATATTTGACCCATTATTAACCTTTGTTTTCTCTTTGTAGTTCCTGCATCATGAAGGGGTTTTGTCTCTGGATTTTTACCCTAACTGTGGGTGTTGCTGCTGCCCAGTTTTGCCCCAAAAGATGCTTGTGCCAGAACCTTGCTCCATCCTTGGCAATTCTGTGTGCTAAAACAGGACTGCTGTTTGTCCCTGCAGTGATAGATCGTCGAACTGTGGAATTAAGGCTCACTGATAACTTCATCACAATAATCCGCAGGAAGGATTTCACCAACATGACCCGATTACTCCACCTTACACTCTCAAGAAACACCATCAGCCACATCACACCTTACACATTTGCTGATCTGCGTGGACTGCGGGCTTTACACTTGGACAACAATCGTATACTATCGATGGGAGATGAGCAGCTCAAAGGACTAATGAACCTTAGACATCTTATCCTTAGCAACAACCAGCTCAGTAACATATCACCAAATTCTTTCCAGGATTTTGTGGGTACTCTAGAAGATCTAGACCTTTCCTACAACAACCTGGCTCAAATTCCTTGGCAGACCATAGCCAAATTGACCAATGTAAACTCTCTAAGCCTTGACCACAATCTTATTGACTATGTTCCTGGAGGAGTCTTTACAAACCTTCACAAATTGGCTAGGCTGGACATGACTTCCAACAAACTAAAGACTATTCCCCCAGATCCTTTGTTTCTTCGCATCCCTGTCTACGCAAAGTCCAAAGGGTCACCACTGTCATCACTTGTTCTGGGATTTGGAGGAAATCCTTTGCATTGTAACTGTGAGCTTTTATGGCTTCGGAGGTTGACTAGGGAGGATGATTTAGAAACCTGTGCATCACCGACAAACCTTCTAGGAAAATATTTTTGGAGTATATCAGAGGAAGAATTTATGTGTGACCCTCCTGTTGTCACCCACCACCACTCACTTCACACAGCAGTTATGGAGGGAGAAGCAGTTGTCCTGAAATGCAAAGCTGTGGGTGACCCTGAGCCTACCATTCACTGGGTGTCACCTGAGGGCAAAGTGGTTTCAAATTCCTCTAGAGCTGTCTCCTACGAAAATGGCACATTGGAGATTACCATCACTACTGTAAGAGACACAGGCTTGTTCACTTGCATTGCGTCCAATACTGCTGGGGATGCAACAGGGTCTGTACAGTTGACAGTAAGTCCCCTACCTCATCCAGCCAATGCCAGTCAAAGAGCACAAAGACCAGATAAGGGGCCTTCTGATATCCTTACACAAGCTAAGCCTGGAACTTCTAATAATGATTCTTCTGGTCACCCAGAAAGGAAGGTGATCACCGCGGAGCTGAGCCATAATTCAGTCCTTATACAGTGGGTTTTAGACAGGAACATTCCTGGAATCCGGATGTACCAGGTGCAGTATAACAGCTCCACAGATGACAGCTTGATTTACAGGTAAGAGGCAGGTGCAAAAGAATGTAAAGTTATAGATATAATCCAGGCCCATATTTGTATTAATCATTCATGGAGAAGCATGCCATGACTAGGCTTATATACAGTAGTCCAGCATAAGTTTTATTCTGATGTATGCTGTAAAAATAGACAACGCAATGGGGGGGGGGGGGGGAGTCAAAGTGACCCCTTCTTCAGGGCTACATAGAAAATATATAAAACATTTAATACATAACAAGTTCTCAGAGCTTATGAAAATTTACAACACATATACATTTTTGGAGTTTCTTTAAATACTTTTTCTAGATGTTTTTATACATGTTGCTCATTTTTAAGAACTATGTGTACTTTGCAAAATCATTTATATAATACTTTTTTAGCCCTGATGGAGGAAGAGCTTTTGAACCCACCAAAAAACACGTTGGCTGTTTTCAGTGTTTATGCCTTCTGAACAAAATGTATTCTTGGCTTTCCATTACTTGTTATGGCGCTTTCCTCCATTAAGTTTAAAGCTGTGTTCGCGTTACGAGCTGCATGCATGGTGATTGATTCCTGAACAGCTGCCTAAAGAAAGCTCATCTATACCAGACGAATTGCTAAAAGTTTCTATTATTACCCAGATTTAGTGGTCCAGTGCCCAGTGCTTCTATTACAGAGAATGTTGTATGGCTTGTAGAAATAGCTGCTAGCATCCAACATGTAATGTCAAAGTGGGTGCCAAAAAAAATTGTACTATAACGCGTGTTATAGTAAATCTAAACCTTTACTGTATGGCATTTGGTTTGCTAAGACACCGTGTGCCATTAAAGTGTATTAAAAGCATCAAGGATCAAGTAAGTAAATCTGCATTACCAGCAGAAATAGGCAGTTAACCCTTGCAGTTGGGCTGCTGAATTTTTATGAAATCACTAATATAGCTGAAGAGTTGGCACCAAAAGTTACCCATCAACACAGTTTTCAAATGCAACTAGCATTATCTTGGATAGCTTTTTCTGACCTCTATACAAAGCAAATTTGACATCTTACGTGCAATGAACATGTTTAGTGTTCAGTTTGTTGTTAGAATATGCTCTTTAGGTGATATGTTCCCAAGACATGCTCTGCTTGAGTAATGATCTATCCTATTGCATAGGGGATATTTCACATAGGCGACTGGGGGGTGGTAAAAATAAGCAGTTTTACTGCCCTCCGGCCACTCATCCAATTTCTAATGTTACAGTCTGACAGGGCTGTACACATACTGTGGCCATGATGGTTTGCTTCGCAGCTGCAGCTATTTAAACTCAAGCTGCAGAGTTTGACAGGTGGCAGCATCTATCACACGCGTCCTTTGAGTTCAATGGGGCTGCACTGCACCAAAGGCTTAGCTTCCAGTTGTGACGCAAAGTGAAACTGCATTTGGCAATTTGAAGAAAAAAAAAAAAAACAGATAGTATAGGGAGGTAGTAGCATCTCCTGAATGCCTATGAGCCGCTCCTACACCGCCCTACATTGCTTTTCAGAGAGAGCGTTAAACTTACTGACATGTCTGAAAGAAGCCTTACTCCAAAACTCCTGCTCAACATCTTTACACCATCATTTTTCTGTACTTAACTTGAATTAATTTTAATGTTGTGTGGTATGCTATTTATTTGATAGGATTTTTAGGGGGAGATTTACTAAAACTGGAGAGTGCAAAACCTGGCACAGCTCTGCATAGAAACCAATCAGCTTCCAGGTTTTGTCAAAACTTGACTGAATAAGCTGAAGTTAGAAGCCGATTGGCTACCATGCACAGTTGCATTGGATTCTGATTGCTCCAGTTGTAGTAAATCTCCCCCACAATGTATAACAGAACAGTGGAATAATATTTGGGTGTTGGTTGATTTTTTTTTTTTTGTTAATGTAAAACCAATAAAAAAAAAATTTTTTTTGTTAATGTAAAATGTAATACCAATTCAAAAATGTTAATTTACAAAAGTGACCTGTTTGCTTTGCACTGCATGAAAACCCCATGCCAAAATGATCAGTAGATCCACTGCTACAGGCAAATGTGTTTAATTACATTTCAACATTTCCTGTAAAAGTTGAACTTGCCCCCCCCACTCTACAACATACAATTTTTTCTGTTGCCCACATGGAGCAAAGCTACAGGTTCACCTTCATTTATACCCCTTTTGTTTCCGAACCATTCCACTCTGATAGGAGTGAAGAAAAGGTCTACCAGCTACAAGTCACCAAAGTCAACTTGCACCAAGCTGTGGACTCTCCATCTTACAGTGCTGATTGGCCCAGTGTTATCACATGGAGTGAGTCACATGATGCTCCATATCTGGATATACCAAATATTTCCCTTGGCTCTTGGCCCTGAATTAATTTTTAGGGGAGCAAAAGGAAAGTTAAGTATACAGTATGTTGAGGATTTCCTTACTCTAACAGCACGTTATGGCAAATTTGTTTTGCCTGAAAATAGCAAGTTATAGGATGACATTCCCCTTTAAGCCCTGATCTGTGTAAGGTTTGCTAAGGGCCTGTGTGTTCTCTTCTGCTGCTCGCTATGATTTTCCATTATGCATGTGTTGTTTATTAATGTATTATCTTTCGCCAAGCTGCAGTGACGTTTGTAAATGCCCCATTGGCTTCTACAGAGGTCACAGAACAAGAGGGGTTAATTCAAAATATCCAGACATACCAGACATAGTTGAATCATCAAATGACCTGGAACATTTTTTTTTATAGCAATGTTTAGTGTACTATAGTTAGAAACCTAATAAAATACATTTCAGGAGAATACAGCAGAGCTAGAATACCTTAACCTGATGCACAGATATGTTATGGAGAATCACAGAATGCCGTAAATTATTATACATTTATGTAATACTGTAGATGCATTGTAAGTGATTTAACTACTTACATTTAATACAAGTTATTCAAATACGAAGGAAATGTACAGTATATGCTGGGAGATTGTCTGTGCAGTAATGGGATATCTACTGCAGCCCCCCTACTGAACAGCAGAAGGACCCTCATTTAGTTGTTTGCAATCAGTATAATTGCATAGTGGTACCACTGGGAATGACTTCATCTTACCGCCATGCTGTAGTACCAGATTTCACAACAAGATGGCACTGCAGGGGAAATAGGTTAGTACACATTGCCCCATCTACTAGACCGGGGTCTCCAAACTTTTTAAACAAAGGGCAGGTTTACTGTCCTTCAAACTTTAGGGAGGTTGGACTGTGACCAATGGGAGAAGAAAATGTCCTGGCGTCAGTGGGAGTAAAAATGCCCCATGATTGGTATTAGGGGAGGAATAGTGCCCCATGATTGGTATTAGGCGGAGGAATAGTGCCCCATCATTGGTATTAGGGGGAGGAATAGTGCCCCATTATTGGTATCAATGGGAAAAATAGTGCCCCATCATTAATATCAATGGGAGAAATAGTGCCCCATTATAAGTATCAACGGGAGAAATAGTGCCCCATCATTTTTATCAATGAAAGGAATAGTGCCTCATCATTGGTACCAATGGGAGAAATAGTGTTCCATCATTAGTATCAATGAAAGGAATCGTGCCCCATCATTGGTATCAATGGGGGGAATAGTGCCCCATCACTGGTTTCAATAGGAGAAATAGTGCCCCATCATTGGTATCAATGGGAGAAATAGTGCCCCATCATTGGTATCAATGGGAGAAATAGTGCCCCATTGTTCATATCAATGGGAGGAATAGTGCCCCATCATTGATATCCATGGGAGAAATAGTGCCCCATTGCTAATATCAATGGGAGGAATAGTGCCCCATCTTCAGTATCAATGAAAGGAATAGTGCCCCATCTTCAGTATCAATGAAAGGAAAAGTGCCCCATTGCTGGCATCAATGGGAAAATAGTGCCCCATCACTGGTTGTTGATGTCAGTGGGAGAAACTATGCCACACTGTTGCTTGCAGTGGTAGGAATAATACCTCAAGGGCCGGATAAAAGCAAGCAAAGGGCCACATATGGCCCCCGGGCCGTAGTTTGGAGACCACTGTACTGGACCAGTGGTTTCCCTTGCTTGCCTTTATTCAACCCTTGGGGCCTTATTCCTCACACTGACACCAACAATGGGGCATAGTTCCTGCCAGTGACACCAACAATAGGGCACTGTTCCTCCAACTGACACCAACAATGTGGCGCGACCACTCTTACTGACACCAACAATGGGGTGCTATTCCTATTTCTGACACAAACGATAGTGCGCTCTTCCTCCTTCTGACACTAATGATGGGGCGCTATTCCTCCTTCTGACACCAACGATGGGGCACTATTCTTCGCACAGACACCAAGGATGAGCACTATTTCTCCCACAGACACCACAGATGGGGCACTGTTCCTTCCACTGGCACAAATGATGGTACACTATGCCGCCCATTGACATCAAAGACGAGGCAGTATTCCAATCACTGACACCAACAATGGGGCACTATTCCTCCCCCTAAAATCAAAGATGGAGCATTGTTTAAGCCCACTGATGCCAGGGCATGTTCTATTCCCATGAACCATTGTCCAGCCTGCATAATGTCTGAAGGACAGTGGCTCTTTCTTTAGAAAGTTTGGAGATACTTGTACTAGATCTACTCTACGTTCCCAAACAAGGTACCCTCACAATATTAACAGATGTGGCCTGATATGGTTCAGAAAAGGAAGGGGGTGCACTGCCCTGGCCACCCTAACTGAAAAAGGTTCTGGTTTGAATTTTATGGGGAAGCCAACACAGTTTTTCCCCCTTTTTTCCATGTACAGAAAGAACCAGTGTGGTGTTACACTTTCAACTGAAACCAGACCCTTATCCATACATGCCGCCTGCATAACTGAGTGGGTAACGAAGGTGTCCCACCCAAACCATACCAGGCCTCATGCTTTTCAATACTGAGAGGGTACCTTGAAACATAGGGTGGTAAAGACCCCCTTTGCAAGGCACCTCATCCCCATGTTGAGGAGAGAAGAACCTCTTCCCCACATCCGGTCTCCAAGAGAATGTGTCA